TTGGAAAGTGCTAACACTCGGCGATGAGGAGCCTGACCTCGTGGAGGAGGCTAGTAGGAGACGAGTAGATATAGTTGGCCTGGCTTCAACCAAGAAGAAAGAAGGCACCAGTTCCTCTATCCTGGACCACGGATGGACCCTCTACTGGAATGGAGTCGACTCAACCGTGCTTGCTCAGGCTGGAGTGGGGATTAGATTGATTGTAGGAATTTTTATTAACATGTATTACATAGTATTACTAGCAATAATTTATTTCATACCTAGAGCATCGATTTGACATGCGATAGACGTCAATCAACGGGGCATTGTAAACGGGATCTACTCGAAATTGTCTCCAATGACCACTCGAGGCAAATAATGCCTGGCGATGGTTCTCTTACGACTGGGTGAAATATACCTAGTAATTTGCTAATTGATGCAGGGTGTGCCTTTGCATTTACCAAAGGCGGTGGTGGATCGATAAAGCTTACATCGTTAGACACTCAGACCATTCGGTCTTGTTCGGACAGTTCTTTGGGGAAAAGCGTGAAATCGTGATGAGTTCTCGAGGAGGCAAGTTCTTGGATGCGTTCCGACCTTCAGCCATCCTTTTACTCGCGGCAGGATGTTTTCCCTTTTCCGGTATTTTTGGCTCAGAGCTTCGGTTCCGACTCGTCTCTTTTCCGGCTTTCTATTCAATGGGGTTTCTCATTTACATCGCTGTCGTCCTCGTGTGGAGTGTGAAAATACTTATTGAGATGTTGCCACACTCGTTCGTTTTTGTGGTTATCGTTATTCAAGACGCTGTCTCCATTTTGAATAGCGGCATCATCGTTGCCTTCTTTCTCGTTCGAGGTTCGCGGATCGCGGAGATTCTCACCGAGGCGGACGCCATCCCAAGTCGCCTGCGGAAACGAGTCGCGGAATTCGCGATCCCCCTCGGCATCTTTTGTCTCGTGGCCGCTCTCGACGCCGTCGCCGTCGCTGCTGTAGGATTTTATTTCCAGTCTCCTTCGGCTCCTTGCCGAGCAGGAATCGTAGTCGTTTTCGTAGCTCTCCTCCTTCGAATCACGTCTTTTATTAGAGACATCGTTCAAGATTTAAGTCAACCTCAAGAGAAAGTAGAAAATGCTCTCCTGGAAATGCGGTAAGTTATTACCCATCTCAATTCTCTTACATTTCCAATATATTATATAATAATATAATAGTGCATGATTGCCATATGATTTAATTCAGAGAGAAGTACATTAGAATTTGGGGGTTGATTGAAGCCACGATGAAGGTGTTCGGATTGCCGATCGTCATCACGATGGCAGAGACGTTTTGGATATGCTTCTCTGAGCTGTACGCTGTAATGTCTGTCGTGATTACAGGATATTTCCCTCTGCCAAACAACATATGTATCAGCCTTTCGCTCGTTTCGGCCCTCATCCGATTCGTAGCTCTGGTGGAATCTTCTCATTGCCTGCTTTCGGCCGTGAGTTCCGATTTCCTATTCGTGCTTCATCGTCGTATCAGCAAATCTCGCTATTTTATTTTAGGCTTGCGATCTGGAAAACGAACTGTCAAAACTTCAATTTCAACACCGTGATTATGAAGGCATTCACGACTTGATGAAGGCTGTTCGAGACCTTCCAATCCGTGTGTCAGCAGCTGGATTCTTCCTCATTCGTCGGTCGATCCTTGTCTCCGTAAGTTTTAATGGTTTTTGGAAATTATAAACATATTTTCATGACGTTTGAGAGTTTGTTGTCGGCTTCAGTGCGCCAACGCCATACTGACCTACATGGTGATCCTGCTGCAGTTCGGGGACTCGAGCGATCACTTGGAAAGTCTCATGGCTCCAGGTCCAAGAAATGAGACTCCGAACGGACGAAAAATTACCCCTTAATGCGGGTGAAAACACCAGCAGATATGATACTTTCGCTTTAGAAAGTTTTCGTCGATTGTTTCATTGCCTGGCAATTTCTTCCTTCAAAATATTACATGCCTATTCCATATCTAAATACGTTACGTCGTATGCCTTTGTAATATTGTGCTTATAGATTTCTCCATATGGTCTTATTTGTCCAACATTTTCCGAAAGTTCACCTGTCAACGTGATTATGTTTCAAATTGTTGACGATTTTGCCTCCTGCCTTTCGCGATTAGTTCTCGTCATTTGCGATAATTGTATGTGATTATCACGTTTCTGTATTGGGGGTATTTAGACATTGTTTCAAGTTGTTCCATGATCTTTTATCTCCCTGTTCTCTGCAAAAGCAGCTAAAATCCCATTATGACAAGATACCTCGTAGCCCACATTAAATTAATATTGATCACTATATCTTTCGCTGAAATGTCATCATGCATGATTTAAAAGTGATTGAGATTCCTTATCGCATCGACGCAATGCAAAATGCAAAATCTCGAAATGCGAAATCTTTCATGAATCTTATACACCCATTCAATTTCTGACGGAGTAACGGAAATGAATTAATCGGAAGTGGGAATCACATTCGCTTGGAAATCTCCAGGTTGTAATAACCAAAACGTTATTGGTTTTGGTTATTACAAACTTTCCAGCTTTCTGGAAAAAAAAATTCAAAATGTATCCTTCCCGTCTTAGTCTTATTGCGGGCCCTCAATTCATCATGTACCGTCGTCTGGTGACTCGGAGATATTGGATCAGTTCGAGTCTGCAAAATGCGGAAACCTTGTATCCACTCCTATCCCAGGCAAAAATTTTCGTTGGTTCATCGGGCCATTGCTGGGGGAGTTGACCCATTTTCGGCGAATGATTGGCAGGCCAACTCACACTTGTGAGTCACTTGTGAGTTGACCGGCCAATCATTCGCCGAAGATGGCTCAATGTGGCTGAGAAGGTTCCGAAGATGGCCCAATGTGGCTGAGAAGGTTCCGAAGACCGGCGTGAGATGGAGCCAAAGTGGCATCGGTGGGGAGTCACTTCCCGGATGCTGCTGAGATGAGTCTCCTGTCCGTTTGACTCCCACCCGCCGGGATGGGAGTCACTTACGCTGAGATACACATTGCCCCCATCCTATTCTTCCCTGAGTAAGAAGTCTCAGAGTAAGAATTTGGAAGCGACTCCGCCTGCCTAAACCTTTTCCATCATACGAATTTCGATAAAAAATGCCCGTCACATCGTTCAACGAAGGAAAAGCACACGGCGGGGCGAGTGACGAAGATCAAATACCATTGTGCGAGGCGGTGAGACGTATTCTGTTTTGCCATCGGGCGTTAGCCGATGGCAAATTAAATTTAAAATTAAAATTATTCAAGTGAAAACTTCAACGACGAAGTCGGCACGTACCTTACTCTCTCGGCAATAAAAACAAAATATTCTAGCATTTCCAGTTGATAAAGCGTTTCCATGCGTTACGGATTTCCACTGCAAGCCTCCCACGTTTCTCGTCCCTAATGCACATTTGGGCCATCGGAAACGATGACCAAATTGACATCGAAATTCCCTCTTCAGGTATTTCCATGTCAATCATGTGAAACTTTATTGAAAAAAAACTTTATTCTGACTGTGGAAACAAAGCCTCTGTTGCCTGAGATGAGCCGGAATTCTGCATATCTACCAAAGAAATTCATAACCAGTCAGTTGCCTTTCCTTTTTTCTCCATTTCTGCTTGCAGATGCGCAGGGTGAAAATAATGAAGGAAAAAAAAAAACATTGGTAAATTAAGAAAAAGTATTTCTTCCTGAAATTCCCCTGTTCTTCGAAACAACCGGCTAGGTTCGCTTTGGCGTTATGACTCAGGCGACTGCCGGAATCGCTGACCTTTCGCCGGACTCATGCAACACCTTCATCGCGTATGGTCCGGTCAAATCAGCGTTTAAAAATCTGGCGCCTTCTACGACGTGGACTGCCTTTGGGACGACCCACGTGAGGGTCACGACCACGTGACCATTCTCCCACTTGAAACAGTTTCATCACCGACGACGGATCCGCTACTTTCGACGCCCGTCGACGAGTCAATTCCGGATTTTTTCTCGTTTCGTTCCCTCGCTAAAATAATTCAATTCTAGTTTCGGAGCAAAAAAAAATGTCCGGGATCTCTTCCCATGCAAATTCAGCCCAACACGTCCAAGAGCATCGGCCGAAGGCGCTAGTGCAAGAAAGGTCCACGTTCGAATCCAACTGGTAAAAGATATCTCCTGGGCCGATAGTTCTCATTGTTCAGTCGGGTACCATTTTCTTTCCTCTCGGTTTGATCAAAGCGACTCCCTGCTCCATCTTGATAGAGCAGTGTTTCCCAAATAATATTTTACCTGCTGACTCATTTCTGAATTGTAGAACTTCCTAAAGAATTGCGTAAATTTTTAACTTCTGAAATTAGTGGAATAAGTTTAAATGACCATATTTTTCAGCTGCCTGGAAGTAATGCGCCCATTTGTATTTTATTTTTCGTTTTGCCGATTGCATATTTTAAGTCTGAACTTCAGATACCCCCAAAGAGTCTAGCCACGGAGTCTTATGGTCAAACCTATACTTGTATGAAACTATACTTGCATGAAACTATACTTGCATGAAACTATACTTGCATGAAACTATACTTGCATGAAACTATACTTGCATGAAACTATACTTGCATGAAACTATACTTGCATGAAACTATACTTGCATGAAACTATACTTGTATACTTGGACCTTAGGAAGACTAATTGACTTTCCTTTAATTGCATGTATTTCCTTCATCAGTCGCTTTAAGACTCGGAGCCAAACCAAATTCAGAAATCAGCCGATGTATTGAATGCGAAATGTATCCATGCGGATCCAGCTTGTGCGCACGTGAGGAGATTCTTTGGAATATTACATATTTCACTCCAATTCGCGAGGCTTCTTCTGCATCTCTTCCATTTAGTTCTCACACGTCAGGAACGCTTCAAAACCTCATTGATCCAATGGATGAACCTAATGGGAGGAAATGAGAAAAGCCTCAGGTAACCATCGCGTTTCACGAGAACGGGCAACAGGAACACAGATGACGGAGCAAACTGGAATCGACCAATTCTCACCGATTAACTTTGGTGAAAACGACATACTGTCCCGGGCGCCTCGTGGAGCAAGTGTCGCTCTGGAAAAAGTGACTCACGATTCCTTCCACCGTCCAGTGGCTGTCCTGTGAGGCATTCGAGAGGAAGACCATGGGACTTCCGGAATCCCCAGGACACACCGTTTGATATGCTGTACCGTAATGCATATAATCATTAATAATCCCATTCATTCATGATAAATCAAAAGTTATCGGGAAGCATCATGACGAAATTTATTTTTAAATAAGAAACGTAGCAAAATAAGAATACATCAAGAACTTGTTTGCGTTCTCTCTTCAGCTTTGAAATTATTCATCTGCCAGGCTGTATTAGTAGGGAAGTCAAGAAAATGATATATTGGGATTCTTAATTATCGAACAACAGCAACTACAGAACAAAGTTCTGCATTCTCTTCGAATTTGTGAGTTAAAATGGTTTCACGCCAAAAGCAACAAAGGCATCCCAGCATATCGCATGAACAAGTTGAACAATGGAATTTTTTTCCTAAAAATCGCCCTTAAGAGCGATAACGTCATGCGATGCGATCAGGTCTGGAGACTTACACACCTTCGACTGGAGTGTTTCTGGAATGACCAGCACAGAACATGTTTGCGGTGAGGGTACGAGTGGTGGTGTGGTCCCCGGTGAATGCCGTCGTGTCTCGACGACACAAGCGGTTTGATATCACGGGGAGTCGAACCTCTGTCAGGGTCGATGCAAGCGAGTCCGGAATGTCGTTGCTCCAGGCAGCCACCTGCATCGATCGAAAAACTGAGAAATAAAATCATGCGAGAAGACCCTTTAGGAAGCATCACATGAACAGGAAATAAAAGACTTGACGTCTTACCGATCCTTCCATTTCGTCCTGGAGGTTTTGGTCAGAGATCTGAAATTCGGTCGGGAGGCACACCAACTGCACTCGCGCTGTGAGCGCGGAAGGCGCTGCTAGTTTCAGCAAGGCGATATCTGAGTCATGGTTTTCTACGCTGAATCTCCTGTGCACGATTATGTGGGACACCTGGAATTCAATTTTTTTTTTATTTTGATTGAAATTTTCCAGCATTAGGAAACGAATGGAAGCATTTTCGGTAATTTATTTCCTACTGGACCTGTCTGATCTGCAAGTATTCATCGTCCTTGTCGTTAGCTCTATAGTGCTTCCCGAGATAAACCAAGAAGTCTGTCTGGTTTCGACGTTTCGTGGAATCCCCGACGGTGACGCAATGGGCCGCCGTGAGCACCCATTGCTCCCGAATGAGGGCGCCTCCGCAGACGACGTCTTGTTTCTTGATGTCGTGAATCGCGGCCTGCCATGGCCATCTTCCTATTTTGTCTCCTTTGGACGGCGTCACTTGGTCGTTCTTTCTTCCACAAACTGCAGAAAGGTATGGAACATTGCAAAAAATGTCCATTCGGAAAAATTGCTGGGATCTGTTCGACATACCACGTATAGAAAATATATGGGTTCAAAAACCTACCTGGCTCACAAAATGGCTCATTCCCCGTCCATTTTCTGTCCTCGGTGCATCTTCGATTCTTGGGTCCCGTTAGAACGTAATATTCGCTGCACGCGAAGCTAACGATGGTCCCAACTTCGTATCCCCCATCTTGAATACACGCTGCATTATTTGTTTCATCAATCGTTTCAGAATCGATCGGACACGATTGAATCTTGAGAGATCCATGCGCAGGTCCGCTTAACGGGCCGCATCCGATCGTGACATCTGTCGCTGGATAAAGAGATCAGAACTGTTTTTATCACGTCATCTGCAACGGACGGATGCGCAAAGTAAATCTTAGCAAAACGTCGAGATTTTAGGTTGACATTTAGGAAATGTGTAGGTGCATAGTATCTATGGATTTTCCTTGAGCCTACTTATTGAAAGTGAAGGAACTGAAGATAGGACCAAAAAGACTAAGGACTAACAATTTTATCGTTTTTATGTTTTCTTTGGGAAATATGGTCTCACTTTCTCTATCTCCGAAGGACATATCTGGAACTGATGACATCATTGCAGCGTTTTTTGGGACGTTTCGCCGACAGCACAGTTCCCCGGGTCCACAGTCGTCCACGTGCGAAAGAGTCACCGTCCCTGGCGTGCAGAGAGACAACCGACGGCTGTCGACGCACTGGTAAGGACAATCACGAGGACATGCCCTTATGGAATCCGAGTCCAAGTCCTTGAATTCCGTTCCGTTCTGGCACTTCCCAGAGACGTTCCTTAGAAATTTCCGACGGAGCACCAGCCATGCCATCTCGCAATTACACAGGATGGGATTGCCTGCGATAAAGACGATTAGGCAGATGGCGCAATCATGCAATCACATTTTAGGTCGTTCAACAATGTCGTTCAACAAAGTCGTTCAACAATGAGAACAGCTGTAAAACTCACCGCTTACGTCCAGGACTCCATCCCCCGAAGAGAGAACATCCAAGATCGGTCGGAAGCTGAGCTCGGACAACACCGCGATGTCGTTTCCGTTTATGTAAATTTTCGTACTCGGTGCAAGACCTGGAATGGAAATGACAGCGCCGTACGCTGATCTAGCTCGACGTTACTTTTTTTCCTTCGGGCATTGTGCCCGAAAGAAAAAAAGGTAATTCTTCGCTTCTAACTGACGCCATGAAAGCAGCGAAGAAACGAAATCGAAATCTTGAGTCGCTCTCTAAGGGAATCTCCTACGTAATATATAATGCCATGGATGATTTTTATTTATTTATACAGGGATGTTAATTACTTATCTGAGGAAGCTGTGATATTTTGTTTTTAATTTGTAAGTTGGTCTTTCAGAGCATCGCCATGAAGTTTAGCAATCAGACCAACAAATTTCGCCGCACCAGGTTTTACTTCTCAAATTACATCGAAACCTTGATAAAAATGACGTAATTTTAATGAGTTAACTCTTAACGATCTGATAACTTTTAAAGTATCGTAAATATCCATACTCAACTTTCGTATATTCTTAATGAAATGTTAAAACAAATCTGGATCCTGCAAAATTCTTACATTTATGTCACTTAAGTTTTAGCATCTAGAGCAGAGGTTCCAATTCTTTTTTAATTATTTGCGGCACCCATAAGGACCCTTGAACTTTCTACGCCACACCCAGACATTTTTACAATGGGAAAATTGCAATGGGAAAATTGCAATGGGAAAATTGCAATGGGAAAATTGCATTGGGATTTGATACGAGGTAGTGCAAACGCTCAGCTCGTTTAAGACGGAGAGATGGCGTTCCCTCCTGTTTTCAAGTTACTTTAGTTTTAGTTTTTTTTGTTGTCAACTCTCAAATCTCACGGCACACCTAAGCACACCGTTCGGGAAACACTGATCTAGGGCACTCCGAGATTATTACGCGTCGTCTAAAGGGAATGATTGCCCCCATTGGCTTCTCTCTCAATATTCTGTGGAAAGCAAGTTATACAAAACATTTAGAATTTTTTTCATTCAGAAAATGTGTGCGGGGGAGGGGGGGGGGGGGACTTCGATGTTCGCATCTCCACAATATTCCGCCTTACCTCTCCCCAGAACCAGGAGTGCTAGAACTTAAATCGCTTTTTTGGTGAAACAATTTTCCAGAACAACACTTTCCTCCAAAAATGGTGCAATTTGAGATGTCGTCGCAACTGCAGGATTTTTCCTTTCAAGTGGTATCAGCACCAAAATAATAACTTTTAAAGGAATATTTAGCTTTCTCTCAAGGAAGAGATATTCTTATCTTATTCTTATTCTTATTCTTATTGTCAATATAGGAGTCTCTTCCCTTTTCCCCTTAAAATTCGTGCATGAGCACTTTTCAGTAATTTTCACCGTCCGAAAATTAAATAAAGGTTTCCTTTTAGTCTCACAATGTCGCCATATTTGATGACCAAACTTAGGAAAGATTCCTCTTGGACACCTCTGGCGGATTCTGTTAATGGCTCTGGATTGGAAATTCTCTGTTAAGAAACTAGGCCATCAAGGTCTTGGAAGCCTCTAATAATACACTTGATAATACACACACCGAAGATAATATTTTTGCCAATATTGCAACGCCGCGATTATCCTGGATGAACCTTGCCGATCGGTCCCTCTAAGGAATCCTACCAGCGATTGCTCCTGGCTCCACCCTGGAGATTCCATTGTCCCTCAGGTCCACCAGTTTCAAGGCATTGCTGCGGAATTGAAGAAGTCCTCTCGGAAGAATGGGACCCGGGTTGCACCGATGGCAACAGAATTTCTCCAGATTCTTCATCCGCTTGATGAGCGTAGTGGGGAACTTGGACGGGGGCGTGCCGCCTGAAGGAACGGGAAAAATACGTTCTTGAGGAAATTCTTCAAAACCAGCTTCATTTAAAATATTTTAAATAATAATTAAAATAAATCACGAAAGATGCTACGTGCCCATTTTCTACCAGAATTCAAGTACGATAGGACAGATTATAATATTTCATAGCAATTGGCGTGTGAACTCGTTGACTGAGTTGCATCCCGGCACTTGGCCAGATGTCAGGTACTGGCCAGGTACTGACGTTGACGAAAAATTTAAGTGCGTATACTAACGCCGGGCTTGGCTCTGCTCGCCTTTTCCATTTATTTTAAGATCTCCTGCGGCATCCTTTATCAACAGAAAATAAACTTCCAAATGGTTTTTTCGGAAATTACACACCTCCCATCCTAGTTGATCCTGGATTCAGACGATGAGAGGACCTGCTGGCATCGCGTTTTTTTTTTATATATGTCATCTCAGATCCGATCCCGATTTGGGTTGGTCGTATCCCCGGAGCGGGTACATCTATCGTCTATTAAAAGTCGCTATGACCTAGTGCAACAGTGTTTCGAGTTCCCGAGTATCGCTTGCTTTCTTTTCCTGCTGAAAAAAAAAAACTCATGAGAATCTCAAAAGGAAACCTCGTCAGATTCTCATGTGGTTTTCAGACTGACATCTCATGATGAACTCATGAGGTTTGGAACAGATGACTCATGAGGTTCACTTCATGGGGTTTTCGCATAGAGGCGCCACTTGCCTCGTGGCCTAATTCCCACGAAAAGTCTCTTGGGACTCAGTTTGCAAGGTCCCGCAAGTACTAAAATTAGAAGTAATAATATTAATAATAATATACAAAGGAATATGTTCGGTTACACTACTGTCATTTATTCCATCCAGTTGGCCAGAATTATCTGGAGTCTTCCTAAACTGGGTTATCTCTTCAGAGAAGTGCTTTTAGAAAATCGAGTATTTTTCATTATTTTCAATGTAAAAATAAGTAACTTGGTGAGTACAGAAGAGATACACCGGTGTGATCACGGGGATACTTTGGGAGATGAATTTCAGTCGCCATCTCGCGTCGTTTGTGGTCTGCTGAGAAAAATTCATGAGGTCCTCATGAGGTTTTCCAACAAGAGGTCTCATGAGGCCTCATGTGGCCTTCATCCTCATGAGGACGTTTCAAAGCCTCAAGAGGAACTACACAATCCTCATGAGAAGGTCGTGAGACCTCGTTAGGTACCTCATGAGGATTGCATCGTGAGGATTTCCTCGTGAGAAACTCGTGAACTCTCACGGGACCTCATGAGTTTGTTGTGATGTTTTTTCAGCTGAGTTGCTTTTCTGTAATTCGATAAAAAAATTTGCAATTTATCAGGAAACGGAATATTTAAAACGGCAGTCATGGATTCCCTAGCAAAACAACACATCGAGTAATAATATACATATATATTTATTTATTTATTTATTTTATTTATTTTATTTATTTTATTTATTTTATTTATTTTATTTATTTTATTTATTTTATTTATTTTATTTATTTTATTTATTTTATTTATTTTATTTATTTTATTTATATTTTATTTATTTTATATATATATATATATATCGCACTCACCAAAGCTGAATTCCCTCAAGTTGGGAGTCGCCCATCCGTCTTCCTCGAAAGCGGCGATCTCATTACCATGAAGTGTAAGTATTTGGAGGCTGTCGATCTTGAGAGGCGGAAAGGAGGTGAGAGAATTGTCGTGGAGGAAAAGCGTCTTCAGGCTTTTGCTCTTCAAGGTTGGGATTGAAGACAGTAAATTCGTGTGGGAGGAGAATTGCAGCAATTTCGGAGTCGTCGACCCGTCCAACTCCAAAATCGTGATCTTGTTAACGTTAACGTCGAGTTCTTCCAGGCTCTCGCTCTCGAAGGACGGGAGTGAGCCCAACGAATTGTTCTCGAGATGCAATCCCTTCAGGTGTTGGAATTCGTTCAGAACGGAAAAGGGAAAATCTTCCAGGAGGCTGTGGAGAATGAAGACTTTTGCGAGCAGGTGTTTCGAAGGGAGGATGGCCGACGGGTGGATTTTCTTCACTGCGGTCTTGTTCAGCTTCATTATCTGGAAGGAAAGATTCCCAAATATTCCCTCGGGGAGTTCCTCTACTCTCGTATTGTCTTCAATAAGGAATCGCCTAGAAGGAGAAATAACGTTTTGGATATAGTATTTCATTCTGACCTAGTTAGAGTAGAATTCTTAATTTATGCGCACCAGGATATAATTGATCTATTTAAGAGAGTGACCCTGAGTTTTCGTATGTTTCCCTGAGGAAAGCCATGGAGATTAATTGAATTCCTGAATTTCAAAATGGAAAGACTAAATCAATAGTTAAATTCGCATGTCCACCATTAATTCAAGTTTGGCCTCGTACGATAATTCCACACAGAGCATCATGTTGCCCCCCTGATGGCATCTTTTCCCCGAGAAGATGCCATGAAGAGGTGACATGGCATGATCGTGAAACAACTTTTCGGGGTTGCCAAGGGGTTTGGAGAAGCGGGAGGAAATTTATTGGTTCAATTCCGTTCCTCCTTTGCGATTTCAGCATTATTGGTGCCGAATAAATTTCCCTTGAACAAATAAATGTTCACGTTAATGTTGTGCGCATATATTGCGTAGGCACGATAGGAAGTTTTAAAGGGCAAGCTGTCTTTCGGATGGCCTTTAAGGATCACGGCAGATCGAATAAGGAATCCTTACACTATTGCATCGTGAAAGAACGCGTTCTGGTGAAAACTGGAAGGACGACATAGATTTTTCCACACTCCAGAGATTTCGAAGGACGCTGAAAAAGTTCCCGAAAATAGTATTTTATCTACAGCCTACCCGGTCTTTTCCAAATGTTAATACCCCAGTCCTTCGAAGCATAGAACTTCGTCTGGCCAGCTATTCAACAAGGGAATACTAGGGGTTAGAAATAGAGTCGACCAGACGAAATTTCAGTCGTATCCAAGATATGTCCAAAGCTGTTCATGGAATCTTGACTCCTGCGTCAGAGTAGCGTTTATGTAGGTAATCACTTGAACGTTTTACGATTTTTTTTTAAATCTCAGCTTGGGAGATTCCCCAATACTATTTTCCACCAAGGAGAATAAGAATAAGTTAGTTATATGGAGCATTAACTTTATACATACATCGATGCAATTCAATTCCCTTTACTAGTTGCAACCTGTAATTTACGAGTGGCGTGCTTTTTTTGCAGGTTTTCATTGAGGAATTGGAGGAAAGTTTATATCTCAGTTCTACCGGAAGAAGAAAATCAGATTCCATACAGAACTAAGCATTTTTGTCTCACAAGGGACTGGTGTGCGATATAAATGTATTTAAGAGAAACGGCCAACCGTATTTAGCTCTCCCTAAGAAATCGGATTATCCGGGGGGGGCCCGGATAATCCGATTCCTTACGTTTGGCTAACCTCGCCGTTCCGTATGATTCCCGGCGAGACGAATACTGACTTATTCCGGATAATGAAGCGACCAAAACTTCGTTGAGAGAGGGGCTAAGGACCTATCTGCTGCCTCGATTCAAGAACGTCTCGGTGACAAGAGTTTCGTGAAGAGTGAGACACGAAAACTGCATAGATGGGAATTCTTACTCACCAGAGTTGATCGGAAGGCCACAAGGCATTCGCGAGTACTGAGGAAATGTGAGCAGCAGAGCTGGCCCGCGAACAGTCCACTGTCACGTGACCATCCGAATCTCTGGTGCACGCGCAGGGCGAGATGTCTTCGGTGGGGCACGACTGCTCACTCATCCCAGGCACAATGGAGGGAATGGAAAGGAAGAGGATGGTCAAGGACGGATTCATCATGGGATCGCCTATCGGAGGACGGCAAGTTGTCGGTTATGGTGTCGAGTGTCCTTCGAGGTCGGTTTTCTTACGTGATGATGATTCACGTGAGTGTGGCGAGTTTCCCTGTTGGAATCGAAATATATCGAAATATAAATGAAACACAGTAAACGATCAGAAAGAATGCTTGAATTCACAGTTTGTGATGCATATGTGTAATGGATGTGAACACGATTTTTTCTCCTTTTCAAATTCCGCGTATCACTCTGTGCGAAGTTGGCGTAATTTTTATGACGCTTTCACGATTGTTATCTCGATTCGAAACCCATTAAAGAGGGGAGGAAAATAATTGTATTTCCCTATTATAGGGATATAAACATCCGTGAGATATTTTATTGTGACATCCATGGGCCGTATTTCGTCCAAAGTGGGAACCAAATATGTTCTCTTTGGGACGCCCCGCCACTCGTTGGAACTCCAATGGGACTTCTTGGACTCGATGAATGGAACAAGCTTTGGGCACGTCACGGGAATTACTTTCCTCAAATGCGATGGTGAAATAAAATGTGGTGCATGTTCGGGGGAAAAATGATCGGCGAAATCAACGTATCCCTGGAAATTCCTTATCATGCAATGACTTAATAATTTCATGCAATAACTTTCGCGACCCAAAAATAACGACCATTATCATCGCCTCGCCGAAGCAAAAAAGTTTCGGCAGAAACTTTACCCAAAAATACCAAGTCCTTAGGGAATGCCCCCCCCCCCCCCAAAAAAAAAAAATAAATAAATAAATACGATTTCCCCTTCTAAATCTTTGCGAAATCGATGTTTCAGTCCCTTATTGTACATAGAGCCACGGCGTCCAATATTCGCATCTCGCCATTTTCGGCGAATCGGCCACAGGGACCAGTCAGCCATTCACGATCGTAAGTTAAGCTTTTACGATGGCGCCGACTTCTTCATTTCGACTCCTTTCATCACTTATCGTAGCACAATTCAATCCCTCCGATAATAAAAAAAAACACGAAACAGTTCCCTAGCAACAAAATGCTGCTAGGGAACGATGGAAACGTTCCCACCAAATTAAACATATTTAACCCAAGAAGCGGCAATTACCATAATAATTTCTTAATTAAATATATCGACATTCCACCCGTCGCCGCGGGAGCAGTATATATATATTTTTCGACACTTTCGAGTTTCTTCATTTATTCCTAATCGGCCCGAAAAACGAAATGAAGAAAATCGGCGTCGAACGATCGACGGTGTCGACGGGTCGACTTCAATCGATCGTCAGTTCCCGCTTCTACGGTTAAAATTGGGAATGGCATAGGAATCATGTCGCAAATATATAAATATAAATATAAATATAAATATAAATATATATTTACCAAGTATGACGTCGACAGGGGATATCTGCATTTTTTATGCATGACAACGAGCCTTTCCCCTTACGGGAACTCCATATTCAGATTTCATGCGCGATATCAAATACGGCCATACAGCTTTGCTCGAAATGTACATGGTACAAATAAAAATTATATATGGGAGACTGTATTTGGAAGCCGTCC